TATTTAAACATGGTAAATACTACAATGACATGTTCACATTAATACATTACATTACACTGTTGAACATCTAATAAATAAAATACATAATCAAAACTGTCACTTTGTACAGTCCAATATACTATTGATGCTGCACTATTGAAGATGCTGTGTTTTGGACAGAACAGTGTGTATAAGTTCATAAGACATAGGGGCGGAAGTAGGCCATTCAGCCCATGGGTTCTACTCCACCATTCAAAAAGATCATGGTTTAATTGATCATCTCCAACTCTACTTTCCTGCCTTTCCCCCATAACCCTTGATTTCCTCACTGATTAAACATCTCTCTATCTCAACCTTGAATATACTTAATGACCCAACCTCGACAGCCTCTATGATAAAGTATTCCAGATTCACCACCTTCTGAGGAAAGAAACTTTACCTCATTTGTAAATTTTCAATCCCCTAACTCTGAGATTATGTCCTTTCATCCAAAACTCTCCCACAGGGGGAAACAATCCAGCACATCATCGTATTGAGTCCCCTAAGAAACCAATACCATTATAGAATCATAGAATCCCTACAGTGTGGAAACAGGCACTTCGGCCCAACAAGCCCACACTGACATTCAGAGCATCCCACCCAGACCCATCCCTTATAACCGGCCTAATCTACACATCCCTGAACACTACAGGCAATTTAGCATGGCCAATCCATCTAGCCTGCACATCTTTGGACTGTGGGAGGAAACTGGAGCACCCAGAGGAAACCCACGCAGACACGGGGAGAATGTGCAAACTCCACACAGACAGTCGCCTGAAGGTGGAATTGAACCCAGGCCCCTGGCGCTGTGAAGGAGCAGTGCTAACCACTGAGCCACCGTGCCGCCCAAAGTCACTTTCATTCTTCTATATTCCAATGATTACAGGCCTAACCTACTCAACTTTTCTTTGCAAGAAAATCTGTCCATATCCAGGATTAACCAAGTGAACCCTCTCTGGACTGCCTCCAAGTGACATTGTATCTTACATTAGATGAGGGAACTAAATTGTGCACAATATTGTAAGTCTGGTCTAACTGGTGCCTTCATCATAGAATCCCTAATGTGAGGAAGCATTAGTCTATCGAGTCCACACCAAACCTCTGAAGAACATCCCACTCAGACCCACCTCCCTACCCTCTCCTTGTAATCCTGAATTTACCAGAGCTAATCTACCTAGCCTGCGCATCCATGGACACTACAGGCAATTTAGTTTGGTAAATCCACATAATCTTTGGACTGTGGGAGGAAACCGGAGCACCCAGAGGATCTGCACAGACATGGGGAGAATGTGCAAACTCCACACAGACAGTCGGCCGAGGCTGGAATCGAACCAGAGTCCCTGGCACTGTGAGGCAGCAGCGCTAGCTACTGGGCAATCATACAGTTTTAGAAAGACTTCCTTATTTATACTTTGAAATAAACATCAGCATTGCCTTCCTGTTAACTGCTGAACTTGGATGCCAGCTTTTTGAAATGTATGCATGAGGAATCCTAAATCCCTCTGTGCTATAGCATTTTACAGTATTTTTCCATTTAAATTATATTCAGCTGTTCTATTCCTCTGGCTAAAGTGAATAACCTAACATTTTCTGATATTATATTCCATCTGCAAGTTTCTGCCTTCTCACTTAACATGTCTCTATCTCTCAATAGTTTCCCTATATTATCATCACCACTTGTCTTCCCACTGACTTTTGCATCATCTACAAATTTGGCAAGTGTGCGTTCACTTCTTTCATCCAGATCTTTAATACTTATTGTCAGTAATTGTGGCCACTGTCCTGATACCTATGGCTTTAGTGCTTAGTGCTTGCCATCTTGAAAATGTCTCTTATCCCAGCTTACTGTCTTTGAAAGTTAGCCAATCCTCTTTCCATGCTAATATCCAATCCCAAAACCATGGGCTCTTATCTCATTAAGTAGCCTGACATGTGATATCCTACAAAATGTTTTCTGAAAATTTAAATACGTTATAACTACTGGTTCCCCTTTATCTATCCTGTTTGTTAACTCTCCAAAGAATTTCCATGTCCTATTATTCCACTATAGAAATTGTTCTCAAAAACTTCTTGTGAGCAAAGGTGTGTACGGGTGGCATGGTGGCTCAGTGGTTAGCACTGTTGCCTCACAGTGCCAAGTTCAATTCCAACCTCGGGCGACTGTCTGTGTGGAGTTTGCACATTCTCCCCGCGTCTCTGTGGGTTTCCTCTGGGTGCTCTGGTTTCCTCCTACAGTCCAAAGATGTGTAGGTGGATTGGCCATGCTAAATTGCCCATAGTTCAGGGATGAGAGATTAGGTGGGTTATAGGGGGATGGGTCTGGGTGGGATTCTCTGAGTGTCGGTGTGGACTTGCTGGGCTGTAGGGCCTGTTCCCACACTGTAGGGATTTTATGATCTATGAGTGAATTCTGGTAAATCTGTCAGTAGTGACTTCCCCATTCTGAAGGCATGCTGAATCAGACTGATCATGTTATGTATTTCTAAATGTTCTGCTATTGCAATCATTTATAATAGACTGTAACATCTTTCAAAGAACAGCTATTAAGCTGTCTGGCCTATAATTGCCTGTTTCTGTCTTCTTTCTTTTTTGAAGGCTGTTGCATTGGCACTTTCCAATCCTCTGGGTCTTTTCAAGATCTAAGTATTCTTGGAAGATTACCACCAGTGCATCCACTATCTCTGTAGCTACTTTGTTTAATATCCTAGGATGCATTCCATCAGCTCCAAAGAGACTTTTCGGTCTTTAGCCCCATCAGTTTCCGAATTGCATTTTCTCTGGTGATATGTTTGCACTTAATTCCTCTCTTTCTTTTGCCCCTTGATTATTTATTAACTTTGGAATATTATTAGCATCTTCTATTGTGAAAACTGATGAAAATGTTTTATTCAATTCTTCTACCATTTCCTGGTTCCCCATTATTATTTCCCCAGCCTTATTCTCTAAGGATCCAATGTTCACTTCAGCTTCTCTCTTCCTTTTTATATATTTGAAGAAACTCTTGCTGTCCATCTTGATATTATTTGCAAATTTCCTCTCAATATTTATTTTCTCCCTTTATTTTGTTTATGGTCAACTTTTGTTTGTTTTAAAAATTTTCCCAGTCCTTTAGGTTTTCACTAATCTTTGCCACTTTGCATTTTCTTTCAATTTGATGCAATCCTTATCTTCCCTGATTAGGGGAAGTTGGACAAGAAAATATGAAAAATCAAATAGAACTATTTGAAGAGCAGGGAGTTCTTCTCATGTCCTCCCCAATATTTCTCCCTTAAGCTGCACACCAAAAGGCAGTCAAACATTTCTTCATTCATTTCCCATTCACGGGATGTTAACGTGCGCACAGTTAATGTCTACTGGTTCCTCTTTATCTATCCTGTTTGCTAACTCTCCAAAGAATTCTGGTATTTCTGTCAGGTGTGATGTCACAGAATAAAAGAGAGTGAAATTCAACTTTCTCACCTGTCTCCACCCCTCAGCACACTCTGTTGTGTTTGACTGCACGATCATCTTCCAAGGCTTTCCCTCCATTGTCCATCCCACTCTCACCGATTCCACCCTCTCCCCATTCTCATCATTTCCCACACACTCAACTTCCACCAGTTCCCAGGCTGAAGCTAGCCTTATTGTGTTTCGTCAGAGTTGGTCTGCTACAAACTGCAATGGAAATCTGTCACTCAAGACAAGATAAAGGCTGGATCTATGAGACTCATTTACTGTGCACATTGTCTTAGGAACATATCACTTAACAAAGGCTAAAGGGTGAGATGTTGGAGAGATATGGTCCATGGGTAGGTGAGAATGAGGATTCAAAGATAAATTGGATTCTACTGGTTAATCGCCTTCTCCTGTTTCTTGTAGTTCACATTCTTTGTAGCTGGGCCAATGATGACAAGTTCGGTGAGATGAGGACACAGTGGGAAAGTAATTGGATTGGAATAACCTAGAGGTTCAGGATAATGCTCTGGGAACATGATCTCAAATATGCCTTAGCAGCTGGTGGAATTTAAATTGATTTTAATAAATGAGTAATGTAAGTGAGACTCAGTAACGGTGACCATGGCAACTACTACTGATTGTAATTAAAAAACCATCTTGTTTGTTATTATCTTTTAGGGATGGAAATCTGCTGTCCTTACCTGGTCTGGACTACAGATATTCTTAATCAACTGTTCACTCTAGAGCAGGTGGGACTTGAATCTAGGCCTCTTGGCTCAGAGGTTGGGACAATACCACTGCACCACAGAAACCACCCACACTCACCCGCAACAACGTGGTTGATACTTAATTATAATCTGAAATGGTCTACTAATCCCCTCAGTAAACAGGCAGCATGGTCTGGGCAATGAATGCTGGCCTGCTCAGTGATGTCTACATCCCACAAAGGGATGAAGAGTAAAGAAGTGCTGAAACAGACAGGACTAGAAATGCCCAGGGATAATTTTGAGGTTTGGCATCAAATTTTTCTAATGGATGATAATGGACGACTGATGGCAGAAGTGGCTATTTTCATCCATGACCAGTTCTCCAGCTGTTTGTTGACCTGACCCCAATGGGACTGTAAGGGAACAGGTACAGAATTTCAAGGTCAACAATATCTTTAACCTCTCAGTCTTTTGATTAAAATCCAAAAAGAAATGATCGAAACATCATACTAAAGTGTTGTAAAGTGTTTATTGTAATACAAGGCTTGGCTGCCACATAACATTCATTATAAAGTGAATACCTCAATTTATAAAATCTGACAACACTGATATATCTAAAACCTCTTTCATCAGGTATTGTCCAATGCTAACCTTCACCCAACAGATCACTCAAAAGTGATTCAGAGATCTGTGCGCTTATTAAATAACGTAGTAAAGCAACACTTTGAATTGAATCAATTTTCTCCAATTGCAAATTTACATGGATACCAAGATATGGTGGTAACTTAAAGGAAATAGATTCACATCATTAGAAAGTTATCTGTGTTTAAAGTGTTTCAATCATTTCAGTAATTTACCAATTACAGTGAATGGATATTTGACTGCATTCTTCAGCTGCTGTCTGAATTTAGTCTGGGTCACTGCATAAATACAGGTGTTGGTGCAGGTACTCAAAAGCTGCAGCATGTATCCAGATTGTTCAGTGATATACGCGGGATCATGGGGACCTGTGTAATCATAAATATTTGCAATTCGCCAATAAAGGAAATATACAACATTTGTCATCCATAAGAGAATAAAACTTCCTGATATGGTGAAGAGTAAAATGATGGATTTCCTGCGGCTCTCCATTTCTGGGTCAGTGTGATTCTTACTCTTGCTGTGAACCAGTAGCTTCCTGCGGACTCTGCTGACCACTAAAATGTGTCTGGCAGTCAGAGCATTGAGCATTAAAATCAGAATGAATGGGAGGAAAGGAGTTAAAATAATGCTGAGGAAATCAAATGCTACCCAGGCGTCTGTGGTGTAAAAGTCCATTGATACAATACCCCCCCAGGGCACATTATCAATTACATATTCAGGTTCATATGCAAAGTACCAAGGAATGTTTTTCAAACAGAGCAGGATGCTCACTGTTATTATGATGAGAACTGCTGTTTCCTCTGTGCAATATTTTATTTTCAACTTTTGGTAACAAATTGTAACAAAACGATCAATGGTGAAAGTGACAGTGAACCAGACAGAGATGTCTGTAGCTGTAGAAAGTAGGACGAGCAAGACAGAATAAGCAGGAGTAGTTTCCAGATAAGTACCTGGGAAGTGGAAAGGAATAACTGTAAACAGCATCACATCAGTGAAAACAACCAGCAGATCTGCCCCTGCATTGGCCACCAGGTAGATAGTGATACATTTGGAGAGTCCACATTTTCCTCGTATCAGGAGCAGAATAGACACTAAATTAACTGGAATAAAAGGAAAGAAAACAAGGATTCATGCAGAGGCATCTCAGAAAGAAATGTAATTACAAAGGCATATAGAGTTGGATTTCCACAGAGTCAGTGAGATTCAACAGTCCTTTCAAAAAGGCAGAAAGAACCCATTTCAAGGATTCTCACATTCATTGTCAGTGTCTCAGAATTTTTCTCATGCAGTTGAATGATGCAGCAGCAAGCTTGCTCTCTACATTCCCCAATCTGACCAGCTCCATTGTGGGGGTAAATATATACTAGACTCACCCCTCATAATTCACTATAGACTTAGATCAAGTTCACAATAATAAAGGGTATATGACCACACCCTCCAGTGGTGTCGTGAAGTGCAGTCTGGATTGCCCCCATTAAAACTCATGTTCCCCACCCATTACCACAGTTTCTCATATACTTCATACCAACCCATGCCCCTTCACTCATCTCCATTGTTCCTTCTTATACTCTATGACAACTCAGGGCCTCACTCACCCTAATAACCATTCATTTCTTTGATGCCAGGACATGGGATAAGGACTATAAACATTTTGTTTGAAAATATAAACTGGAAAAAATGGAGGTTGGAGTGTTTTGTCGCAAAGAAGGAATCATCTCTTGTTATAATTCAAAGGAAAAGTGGAATTGTGTGCTTATGTCCTGCTTACACAATGACATGTCATTTTATGAAGAAGCTGGAGTTTAATACTTTTGCAAGACATGATAGCACTAGGTTCCTTTGCAAATGATAACAGCCCATCAACAAGATTCGGATTGGTTGTCAGTGGCAGGCTGTCACTAAACTGAAAGGAGAGGGACCATTTGGTACTGAGAGGTTCAAGTCTGCCAGCAAGCAGAATTGCTCTCTCTTTTAATTGGAAAAGAAAAACTAACATTCAAATGGTCAGGAAAATAATACAAGCCAAGACCTGGGCCTAAATAACCGGCCACAGAATTGATTTCATCACAGACCAAACCTTGTGATGTAATCATCATAAACAAAAAAGAAACTATGAGAAAACTCATCTCATTCTGCACCTTTTCGTTTGAATTTTGATCAAAAGACTTTGCTCCTTTTTGCCTAGTTTTCTCACACAGTATTTCTCTAAAAAAGAACTTTCCTCCTCTGCTTCTTCATCCCAAGCGTGAATAAATGTGTGTGTGTGTGTGTGTGTGTATATGAGTGACTGTGTGTGTGTGTGTGTGCGTGTGTGTGTGTGTGTGTGTGTGTGTGTTTGTGCACGCGCACGCGCTTGGATATTTTAGGCGTTATCATTTGACTTTCCATGGTAGATAATAATCTGCTTTTGCCACTGCAAAGCTTTCATAGTTTATGGAGTAAAGAGAGTGGAAGACTCACAAGTAGGCTGAGCAGTCAAACAAAGAGGCAATGAAGACATGAGTGTAGGTTTTAGTTGCAGATGCAAAGTCAGGCAATGCTGATAAAGAGCTGGAAATAGGAAAATTTAGGAATGTCTGAAATATCAGGTCGACGTGAAATAATTCCACAGAGGCCAGTATCCTATCACCAAGCTACAATTTATTCACTCAGGCATAGTACTTGACACTGGTCTGGCTTCCTCAGAGCCAGCTTTCAGAGTGAGCAGAATCTCCAATACTCTTGTTTATACCTCTCAGCCAGGACTCCCTGATTGGATCAGATTAACAGCCACACTTAGGGAACTCATATTCCACGAGGTCCGACTGGTTGACCTCATTCCAATCACTACATCCCTCCCTCTCTAAGTCCGGGGATGTAGGCCTGTCCTTTTTCCTATAGCCTTTCCTGGGGTATTTTCACACCAGGTCTGGTTCCTCTGATTCAGCCTCGGATATAGGGCAGCATGTACCAGACCATAGAACACCTCTTGCGCCTGGATCATCTCGGAAGAGATTCATCCTCTTCTTCAGGTGGTGAAGGTGTTGAGGCTGTGACATCCGCTGTGTCCTTCTCAGATTCTGAGGTTTCTTCAATATGAGACCAATGGGTAGAATCCATGGGGTCATCAGTCATTCTGGCTGTTCTGAGGGGCTGGGTACATTTTACTCCTGCCCGGTTTGCGAATTTTCAGCTTTCATGTAGTCCACATGCTTGTTCAGGACTTCCTCATCTACGCAAACTTTGTATGTCATGGAACCTGACCTCTCATCGACCATGCCTCTTACCTACGCAGGGCCATTTCCGTGGTTTTGCCAACAAACTCCGTCTCCCAAAATAAACTATCTCTCTCACTTGAGAGTGTCCGGCACTGGCATTCCTGATACCGTTCACCCTCCCCCCCCAGATCCAGGAAGATCAGATCTAACCAATGCAAGTCTTCTGCCTATTTGCAACTGTGCTGGAGCTAGCCCCGTAGTTGCATGAGGGATGGTCCAATAATCCGAGAGAAACCAGGACAGTTTATTATCTAGTGAAGCTGGAGGCTGCTTTTTTAAGCCTGCCTTCAAAGTTTGGAGTGCTCTTTCTGCCAGACCATTGGACGATGGATGATATGGAGCTGTCCAAACATGCCGATTGCCATTCGACTTTAGGAAAAACTTGAATTCCCTGCCGGTAAATGATGGCTCGTTGTCTGTGACCCGCAGTACCGGGGGTCTGCATATTACAAAAGTTGCTCTCAGCTTTTCTATCATCATCCCTTTGTTTAATGAATGTACTCTATGCACGTTCAACCACTTTGAGTGGGCATCCACAATGACTAAGAACGTTGATCGCATGGAACGGCCAGCATAGTTGACGTGTAACTGAGTCCAGAATTTACCTGGCCATTCCTACGAATGTGGGGCAGTTGCTTGCGGTAATTTTGGTCCTTGTTGGTACTCTGGGCCCTGCTCTACCAACAAAATTGCATGTGAATCCAATCCTGGCCACCAGACATAATTTCTCGCCAACATCTTCATTTTGGACAGTCCTGGAAGATCCTGGTGGCAACCTTTGCCTGGAATAATCAACCTTGCTCCCCATAATAAAATGCTGTCCTCTACGTTGATCTGGTCTCACCGGGCCCAGAAAGGTTTCAATTCTGGTTGTAACGACCCTTTTTTGCATCCCATCACCACCAGCTGTTTTAGTTTTGCCAGGGTAGGATCTTTTTTGCATCCACAGTCTGATATTGTCTGCGGCGACCAGATGGGTGTCCAGAAAGTTTAAAACCAGAATGGATTCTTCCAGTGGTGGGACCACCAATGGTGTATCTGCCAGTGGGAGGCAACTCAAGATATCCGTATTTGCTCTGTTGCCACCCAGACTGTGTTCCAACTTGTTATTGTATGCACTTAGAATGCGAACCCACCGCTAAATTTGACCAGAAGATATTGGCAGCATGGCCTTGTCTCTTTGATTCGCCGTAACAGGGGTTTTGTCATTTGTTACCATTACAAATTTACGTCTGTAACCGTATTGGCGGAAATTTCTCACACCAAAAATGGCCTCCTTTATCTGGGCGTATTGCGGTCTGCATCAACCAAAGTCTGGGAAGCATGTGCTATTGGGCACACTTCTCCATTGGACCATCTGTGAGCCAGCACTACCCTGATAACCGTGCAGGGAGGCATCGCATGTCAGCACCAGTTCTCTCTTGGGATCTCACTGTGCCAAAACCTCAGATGATGTCAGTTGCTTCTTCACTTCATTTAAGGCTACGTCCTGGCTACAAGACCATTTCCAAGGCTGCCCCTTTTTCAATAGCAGATACAAGGGTGCAAGGATGGATGCCAGGTTATTTCTGTAATAATTCACCAAGCCAAGGAAAGACCTAAGCACCATTATAGACATGGGAGATGGGGCATGTTTGATTGCCCTCACTTTATTTTCCAACTGTATAAACCAGTCTTGTTCACTCTTTAGCCCAGGTATGTCCCTTGGGTTGCTTGGAACACACAACTTTCCCTTCTAAGGTGTATGCCTGCCTTAGAGGAATGTCTAAGGACTATGTTAAAGTTCTCTAAGTGCTCTTTATTGGCCTTCCTTCTGATTAGCACATCTTCCAGATAGATGGCGGCCTTGGGCAAACCTGGTAAAATATTCTCCATTATCCACTGAAAAATGGCACAGGCTAATAATGGTAGTCTCCTATAGTGATACAAATCCTTATGGGTATAAATGGTATCATACTTATGGTAATCCTCATCTAACCACAATTGAAAGTATGCATCCCCACAAAGGCAAACTGACCTGTTGGGTGTTACACTCAGTGCTGCCCATTCCACAATGACCAGTACTGCCCATTCCACAAACTGTACTGGTTTGATGATTCCTTCATATTCCAAGCTTCTGATTTCTGCCTCTATGTTTGCCTGTAAGGCAAATGGCACTGGGCAGGCCTTGAAAAATCATGGAATTACTTCCTGGTCAACATGCCGGGTGGTCTTGTCTCCGTTGATAGTCCCTAGAACTTCCTGAAAAGCTTTCAGATATTTGACTAGGACTTCACTGAGGCAGCCATTTTCTAATTGAAAAATGCTGAATCAACCAAGGTGAATCTTTCTTAACCAATTTCACCCTATCAGGTTTGGGCTGGGCCATTTACTACAATCAATGGTAACTGCACCAGCTGCTTCTCATACAGGACCAGAAACAAAGTTGTATCCTTAATCTGTAGGGGTTCCCTAGGACAGGTTCTCAGTCTAGCTAAGGTCTTACACAAACTTAAGGGTTGGAGTCCAGAGTGAATTTTGTTAAAGATTGGTTCTGCAATCACTGACACAGCCCCGCTAGTATCCACCTCCATTAGAACCGGCTGACCATTTAACCAGACTTTTATTTGATTGGTTATGTTTTGCCTATTGCTAAGCAATTTAATTATTCTGAGCGAGATATTGGTGTGCATTCTCTTGATTTTGACCTATGAGTTCTCCAATTCAATTCAGGTCTACTGGGACTCTTTTGCTGTCTCGAGTCCACATGCTAACAGCAACAACAATGGCTTGCCAGCCCAGATCTTGATGAAAACGTTGACTGTTTGGCCGAGGTTTGACATTGCTTAGGAGTTTTGCTGTGGGCTGACATGGAGTCCATCTGTTCAGGATATGTCCTGAGTGAGGCTATGCAATTGCCTTCACTCCAGTGGTGTCTCCACAAGCTCAGTTGGACTGGCGATGGTGTACACCTCCATCGCCATACCTTGTAACTCATAAGCTCCACTTGCCACATTTTCTAATTATAAAGCCAGTTGTGGTGCCTGTTTGAAGTCCAGTTAGGCTTCAGCTAGTAGGCGCTTTTGCATGGTCACATCATTCATCCCACATACCAAAGGGTCTTTCAGCATCTCATTGAGATTTAATTCAAAGTCACATGCTTCTGCTAGTCATCTTAACCTCGTCAAAAATTCTGACATGTATTCCCCTGGCTTTTGATCTGCGAGTAAAACTGATGGAGTCTCAGAATTAGAGGAGGCTTAGGTTCGTCATATTCCTTAACTCAATCCATCAACTCTTGAAAAGTTTTTTTTTCCTGGTGCCTCAGGAAATGCTAGGCTCCTAATAAGTGTAGAGATGAGACAGGACTGCAACGACAGTGTGATTTAAATTGGGGTCTTTCCTTTCATGCAGACTGAAATAAGCAGATTACTGCGTATCTAAGGGGTAGCAAATTTCAACAGTCTTAACAACAACTCCCTTAAGCACTGACAGTTGTAGCAGTGTGCACCACCTACAAGATGCACTGCAAGCAACTAACCCAGGCTCCTTCAATAGCATCTTACAAGCCTATAACCTCTACCATAGAGGAGGACAAGGACAGCAAATGCAAAGAAGCACCACCAAATGCCAAGCTCCCATCGGGGTGTCATACCATGCTGATTTGGAACAAGATTGCCATTCCTTCACTGTTGCTCGGTCAAAATCCTAGAGTTCCCTTCCTCAGAACACTTGGGGTGAAATTACACTGATGTAAGTTTGCCTCTGACAGACCTGATGCAGCAGTTAGAATATTGTGTGCAGTTTTGGTCTCCTTTTCTATGGAAGGATGCTCTTACTGACAAGAGAGTGCAGTGAAGGTTTACCAGTCTGATTCCGAGGATGGCAGGACTGACGTATGAGGAGAGATTGACTAGGTTGGGATTTTTTTTGCTAGACTTCAGATGAATGAAGGGGTATCTCATACGGACTTATAAAATTATAACAGGACTAGACAGAGTAGATGCAGGGAGGGTGCTCCCGATGGTGGGTATGTCCAGAACCAGGGGTCACAGTATGAGGATTTGGGGTAGATGATTTAGGACGGAGATGAGGAGATATTTCTTCACCCAAAGAGTGGTGAGCTGACTCACCACTCAAGAGGCGATTAGATATAGTACTTGGAGTGAATGGGAACAAAGGTTATGGGGAGAAAGCAGGATTAAGCTATGAGTTGAATGATCAACCATGATTGTGAAGAGTGGTGGAGCAAGCTCAAAGGGCTGAATCTTCTATGTTTCTATGCTTGCTATTTGCTATGTAATAAACAGGGTGTAGATATTATGACATTGAATAATCTGACAGGTATTTATATAGATAACTATTGATACTTATTTAATATTAATTCAACAACTCCCATTTTTACATTCTTTTGTCCTTCTCCATGAATCCTTAATATTAATTGGTTAAGAGATACACTATTAGCCCAGTGTTCTTGAAGACCTGAAATCCCTTTTGATCAACAGCTTGCAAGTTATAATGCAAATTGTGTTGGAGCTGAAGGGTGGAGGAAATCTAATTCCATGAAACATGTTCCTCCAGCAAGATTGTGCCCAATTACGTTGTTAATTTTCTCATATATCTGTTGATTCAGAACTAAGAGAGACATTGACAAAAGTAACAGAGATCAAAACACAGCAAGTAACATGGCAATCAGCCATTAGCTCAGTCACAAGATGATATCATCAAATGGTCCAATGTTTCTAAGGCACTGGTAGAAGAAATTTGATGGCATTTAATGATTAAGTCACTTACTGGGAACACCGACAACTGCAAGAAAAGTGTAGAAAATGTCTTCGATTTGGTGAAGTACTGTTAATTCACGCATCTTTTGGTGAGCCTGGTATTGCTTTTGGAAGCCACCGATCTGCCTAATAACATGATACATTCAGAAGAACCTCATATTTATATAGGAGGAATCTTTCCTGTCAGATAATAAAGTTACATCATGATTGAAATTAATTACACTTCAATAAACAAGCAAGTGAAGTCAATCACACAAATATCATCTACTCCCTGCCCATTATACATTCATGTTAATCTTCTTCATTTTATGTCTCGCTTGTACTAACATTTAAGTTTTACAATTGATGATGGTCTGCAATATGTTTGTGGATCATCTGTTAGGGTCTTTCCTTTTGTAGTTTCCAATGTATTTAGACATTATGCCTGTGAATATCCTGCAGAATGATTCCTTTAGTGTTTTTTATAGAGAACTGAGGAAATTGAAACATTTGCCACAGTCTTTCAGACAGTTGTGCTTATGACCAATAGTCTGAACGTTTCCTCAAATTATTTCAATTCTTTCCTTAGTTGTGAGGACACACTCTTGCTACTAAGTGAAAACGTTCAGAGTTTCAGCCCAGAACCCAACACAACATCCAGTCAAACTACCAAGTACAGTGCCAAGGGAGTGTGCACTGTTGGCAAATGAGATGTTAAAACTTACATCGGGATGTACTCAATTGTTATAGAACCATAGTGCAGAAGACAACCTTCAGCCCATTGAGTCTGTGCTGACATGTGAGAAACATCTGACCTTAAATCTAATCCTATTTACCAACACTTGGCCCATGGACTTGAATTTTAGAATGTGCCAAGTGCTCATCCAGGCACTTTTTAAATGATGTGAGGCAATTTGCTTCAACCACACTCACAGGCAGCATGTTTCAGACTATCACCGCCCTCCAGTTGACAAGGTTTTCCCTCATATCCCTCCTGAACCTCTTGTTCCTCACCTTGAACCTTTGTCCCCTTCATCTAAGAAGAGCTGCTCATCCTCCACTCCGTTCATTCCTCATATCTTGCTGAAATTCCTGCCTTGCAGTTGGTGCCAAGAGTGTCTCTTCCACTGCTTGTGCCAGTCCTCTGTGCCCCTGGAATCTCTGACACATTTCCATATACTTCGCAGTGTGTGTCTTGCATCTGCTAGCTCACAATCAATGGGCATGACTTGTGATAAAGTTAGGGCTAGGGTTAGGATGAGTGTTTGAATTAGGGTTAGGGTTAGAGTGAGGGTTAGGGTTAGTGTTAGAGTTAGGTTTGGATTAGAGTTAGGTTTAGGGTTACAGTTAGTGTTGGGTCAGATTATGGGTATGGTTATGGTTAGATGCCTGGGGATCTGCATTGGGTTTAGTGTAAGGGTTAGGGTTAAGGTTAGGTTTTATTGTTAGGGTTAGGGCTATGAAATTGGAGCTCAGCATTGAGGTTAATGTTAAGTTTAGGGTTAGGGTTAGATTTAGGGATAGGTTTAGGATTAGAGTTACGGTAATAAGCCTGGGGCTCAGCATTGACGTTGTCTGAAGCACTTTACTGAGTGCCAGAGACCTTCTTCCCCTTTAGCAGTTGGAAATACCTGGCAATATTTCTTTTGTGGGGCAGATGACAAGGGGACTGACAAACAGTGATTGTAATTGGAGTTGAGCTTGGAGAGACGCATTTCCTTAAAATACACATGGCACTCTTGGAAGATGGCAGCTAGCATCAAAATCTTAGGTACTTCAAACTTGAGACATACCTTCCTCATCAAATTCTTCAAGCCTCCAATGTCAAAGGTCATCAATGTTAGCTCCTCCCCATCGAGCACAGTGTTGAATAGTCTCTCCAGCCCCTAATCCCAGGAGCCTACTTTGTGCATTTGTAACCTCACCACCCTGAGACCTTCCTCCAATCTAACTTCAGCTCACCAAATGGGTCAACTCCATTGATTAGTATCCTAAGTTTAACTCTAAATTTAACCCTAACCCTAACTCTAATCCTAACTCTAACCCTAACCCTAACCCTGACATAATTTCTAACACTAATCCTAACTCTAAACCTAACCCTGTCTAAGTTCCTCCTCCTCTACCAGGGGGAGAATGGTCATGTTGGGAAGACCACCTTCGGCCTGTCCCTGTCTCAGGCCTCATGTGTCTTCTTCTTCTGCAAACAGAAAGCGACTTGTAAGGAATATGCCAAACTCCAATTGTGGTTTCAATTGTGTGGAAGACAAGTCATGTGCCAGTGAGTCACATTCCTTCATGTTCCTTGCCAACAAACAGACAAACAAATTGCTGTTCAGAAATCGCCACCTCCCTAAAAATCCCTTTGGTGCTGGCCAGAGTGGACCAGCTGCTTCATGCCCACCTCTGCCTTTGGGCAAAGTTCTAGATAATTGCGGCTGTACTAAGGGAGGATATTGCTTCACCCAGTGAAGTTATTTGGGTGGAACTGAGAATAGGAAAGGGATGATCACCTTATTGGGATTGTGCCATAGGCCCCCCAAGAGTCAGCAGGAAATTGAGAAGCAAACTTGTAAGGGGATCTCAGATATTTTTAAGAACAATGGGGTTGTAATAGTAGGGGACTTTAACTTTCCAAACATAGACTGGACTGCCATAATGTTAAGGGCTTGGGTGGAGAGGAATTTTTTAAGTGTGTACAAGAAAATTTTCTGATTCAGTATGTAGATGTACTTACTAGAGAAGGAACTAAACAAGAACTTCTCTTGAGAAATAAGCCAGGGCAAGTGATTGAGGTGTCAGTAGGGCTGCACTTTGGGGCAAGGGATCATACTTCTATTCATTTTAAAAGAGTTATGGAAAAAGATAGACCTGGTCTCAAAGTCAAATTTCTAACTTGGAGTAAGGAAAACTTTGATGGTGTCAGGCAAGAATGTTCAAAAATTGATTGGGGGCAGATATTCACAGGTAAAAGGACGGCTGGAAATTGGAAGGCCTTCAAAAATGAGATAATAAGAGTTCAGGAGCATCATTAGGGTGAAGGGCAAGGCTGGTATGTGTAGGGAATGCTGGATGACTAGAGAAATTGAGGCTCTGGTCAAGAAAAAGAAGGAGGCATATAGCAGGTATAGACAGCTGAGATTGAGTGAATCCCAAGAAGAGTATAAGGGCAGTGCAAGTTTACTCAAAAAGGAGATCAGAAGGGCAAAAATGGTACATGAGTTAGCTTTAGCAAATAGAGTTTAGGAGAATCCAAAGAGATTCTACAAATACGTTAAGGATAAAAGAGTAACTCGGTTGAGAATATGGCCCCTAAAGATCAACAACGCTATCTATGTGTGGAACTGCAAAAGATGAGTGGCGCTCAAGTACTTTGAGTCAGTACGTACTGTGGAGAAGAATTTAGAAGTGAAAAAACTTGAGAAATAAATAGAGATACCTTGAAAAATATCCAATTTACAGAGGAGGAGGTGCTGGACATCTTAAAATACACAAAGATGGATAAATCCCTGGGTCTTGATCGGGTATATCCCAGAACTTTGCAAGAACCTAGGCAAGTGATTGCTGAACCCCTTGCTGAGATGTTTGTATCATTGTTAGCCATGTGTATGGTGTTGGAAGACTGCAAGTTCACCAATGTTGTGCCATTATTTAAGAAAGGTCGTAAGGAAAAAACAGTGAACTACAGACCAAGAGCCTGATGTCAGTGGTGGGTAAGTTGCTCAAAGGGATTTTGAGAGATAGGATTTACATGTATTTGGAAAGGCAAGGATTGAATAGGAACAGTCAGCATGGCTTCGAGTGTGGGAAATCTTGTCTTGCTAACTTGACTGAGTTTTTTGAAGAATTAATAAGGAAGATTGACAAAGAAGATTGATGAAAGCGGAGCAGTGGACATTGTCTATATGGACTTCAGTAAGTTGTGCGACAAGATTCCACATCGTAGTCTGGTTAGAAAGGTTAGATCACATAGAATCCAGAATAATCTAGCCATTTGGATATAAAATTGGCTTGCAGATAGAATACAAAGGGCGATGGGTAGAAGTTTGGTTTTCAACTGAAGGCCTGTGACCAGCAGTGTGCTGCAAGATCGGAGCTGAGTACACTGCTTTATGCCATTTCTTTAAATGATTTTGATGTGAATATAAGAGGAACGGTTAGTGAATTTTCAGATGACACCAAAATTGGTGGTGCAATGGACAGTGAAGAAGATTATCTCATAGGATAAGTGGACCTTGATCAGATGGGCCAATGGGCTGTGGAATGGCAGCTGGAGTTTAATTTAGATAAATATGACGTGTTGAATTTTGGAAAGGCAAATCATGCAGGACTTATCCACTTAAGGTAGGATCCTGGGGAGTGTTGGCGGACAAAGAGACTTTGGGTGCATATTCATAGCTGCTTGAAAGTGGAGTCACAGTTAGAAAGGGTAGTGAAGAAGACGTTTGATATGCTTGCCTTTATTGGTCAGTGCATTGAATGTGGAGCTAGGATGTCATATTGTGTCTATACAGGACATTGGTTAGGCCACTTTTAGAATACTGCATTCAGTTCTGGTCTCCCTGCTTTAGGAAAGATGTTGTTAACTTGAAAGGGTTCAGAGAAGATTTACATGGATGTTGTAGGGGTTTGAGCTGGATAGGCTGGGGTTATTTTCCTTGAAGTTCCATAGGCTGAGGGGTCACCTCATAGAGGTTTATAAAATTATGAGGAGCATGGATAGGGTGAAAAGCCAAGGCCTTATTTACCAGGTTAAATGAGTCTAAAACTAGAGGGCATAGGTTTAAGGTGAGAAGGGAAAGACTTAAAAGGGACCTAAGGGGCAACTATTTCATGCATAAGTTGGCATGGTTATGGAATGAACTGCCAGAGGAGACGGTGGAGTCTGGTACAATCACATTAAAAAGACATTTTAATAGGTAGATGATTTGGAAGGGGTTAGACCCCACAGGGTCTGAACTCAGTCTTCTCATGGTCAGTTCCGTGGAGAACATTGCTGTTTCACAATGTCTGAAGTGTTTGCAATAATTCTCATGGACTGTCCTCAGAAAGCTTGATAAATGATCATAAAAAGGGAAAGAACTGCTGATGCTGGAAATCAGAAACAAAAAAAATGACTGGGAAAAACTCAGCTGGTCAGTTCTGAAGAAGGGTTCCTGGAGCCGTTAACACTGATTTCTCTCCAGAGATGCTGCCAGACCTGCTCTTAGTCGGTCTCACAGTGACACTGATTGATGTACACTATTCACAGTCTGTCTCACAGTGATTTCCAGCAATTTCTGTTGATAACTGTTCATTATTCGCTAAGAATTTTACTTGACGATAAGTTAACCCTCTGGATTTTAAAAAGAATGTGCCAACATAAATGGAAAACTGTAACGGAACACTTGGAAGTAAAACTTTCAGCATGCAATGGCTCACCAATTCCATGTGCAGATTCAACTGTGTTGGATATAAGTAGAACTTGGCAGGTCATCATAGATTTTTGACATGAGAGACACTACTGGCGTCAGTAATTTTGGGTATACCAGCATGCTGTAATCTAACATTAGTCACAATCTATGCTGTCAGTATAACATCAGAAACATAGCACAAACTAGAGCATATGATTCAAGAAACAATTCAGAACTGAATATGAAAGAAGAGGTGGAGCTCAAATCTCTGCTCTTGGCTCTGGTGAGGGAAATGATGGATCAAGATAAAAAGGCTGAACTATGAGCTCAGGATAAGTCCAATATTAAGAATTAACCCAGCAAAAAGATTGCCAGCCTATAAGAAGATGTGTAGCAATTCACATGTTAAATCAATCAAGCTCATCTGGAGCAGCTACAGAAACAAAGGCCTGAGCCCAAAACAATATTGGAGAAAAGTCAGCTCTGCATTAACAGTTGGAGATGCACAGCGCACAGAACAAGGAGGTGCAAATCACTTCTGAGACAGTCCGTTTAGAAATAAATGCCAGCAATGATGCTTAATTGAATCAGCTCAAATGGTATATGAGGAAAACCAAACAACCACTGAAGCAGAAATCAGAAGAGGATGAGCCTGGAAACTTTTCCTTTAACTGTTCTCTCTCATTGACTTCAGTTCACCATTCCTTGATGATTGGAGAAGTTGCTACTTTCAATCTATCCAAATCAAACCTGACCCGAAGATTACATTAACATTTCTACAGGCAAACTATGAACTACCCTGATGTTACTGGGAAGAATGTACATCAATCAGTGTCACTGTGAGACAGACTGGGAAGAGTGTACCTCAATTGGTGTCACTATGATATCGATTGGGAAGAGTGTACATCAACCTGTGTCACTGTAAGAAGGACTGTGAAGAGTGTACATCTATTAGTGTCACTGTGTTAAGGACTGGGAGGACTGTTCAGAATTTCAGCACTGTGTGTGAAGCAAACTAGGACAGTGGATCTGTTTGGGAAGGTCAGTGGCAGCAGCAGATAAAAAAAGAGATTCTACAAAACTGTTTCTACCTATCAGAGACAATATGTGATGTCACAGCAAAATAGATGGATGATTGATGGGAATATCTTCTGTCTCTCTTTTGATTGGCCAAGTAGTTAAAATCAGGAGGCAATGTTGCAGCTAAAAAGTATGTAAAGGCTAATGGGATCCAGAGTAACTTGGCAAGTTGCATCCAAAATTGACTTAGTGATAGGAGACTTAGACTGTAGGTAAAAGGCTGTTTGTGTGACTGGAGACTGGAGACTGCTGTCCATTGGCGGGTTGTCCTGGGATGAGACTGGGCCAACCCTGCCTCTCATCACTGCCTCCTTGACTTGAAACAACCTGTCCATCTTCTCTCCCACATAACCGCTCCTCCCACCTCACTGACCAATCCCCACCATTGCCTACCTGCACTCACCTATCACCATCCCACCTACCTCCCCCAGTCCCACCCCTCCTCTCTCTATTTATTTCTGAGCTCCCTTCCTCCTCCCCCATTTCTGAAGAAGGGTCGCGACCCAAAATGTCAACTTTCCTACTCCTCTGATGCTGCCTACCCTGCTGTGTTCCTCCAGCTTAACACTGTGTTATCTCTGACTCCAGCATTGGCAGTTCTTACTATCTCTGAGTGAGTTAAACACAATGATGATCATTTTAAATAGGAGTCATGGGGCAACCAGAGGAGAGGTGATGGCTTAGTAGTATTATTGCTAGGCTATTGATCCAGAAATACAGGTAATGATCTGGGGGTCTGCGTTCAAATCCAGCCATGACAGATGGTTGAATTTGAATTCAACAAAAATCTGTAATTGAGAGTTTAATGGAGACCATCCATTGATTGTTGGGAAAAAACCCCTGCTTCACTAATGACCTATAGGGAAGGAAATCTACATGTAACTCCAAACCTACAACAATGTGGTTGACTCTTAAACTGCCATCTGGACAATTAGGGGTAGGCAATAAATGCTGGCCTAGACTGTGACATCCTCATCCTGCAAATGAATTTTTAAAAAGGCCAGTGGTTGATAGGGACAGGGATGATAGGTATAAGGTATGCTGTGTGGGGTTGCATACAAACTGTAGACCTTCCAATGAGCGAACATCGAGAATGATGATGTAGCTAGAGGGAGGATCGGAACCATTGACCATGGAAGTAACAGAGGAATGAATCCTGTTTAAAACATAGCTTTTTGATGGAGCTTTGGTCACCCCTCCTCATCTCTCATTCCTTTCCTCTGTGTCAATTTCATTATGTCTCTTTGACGCAAATCAGGACATTGGTCTATGTTGTAGATAATGTAAAAACATAAATATTTTATTCCATGATAAACAGATGAATTTTCACATGACTGTCTTCACTTGCTTGTTCCGTGAAGTGTAATTAATATTTCTAATGAAAAGTCTTTTTGCAGAATTCCCTCCTGTATAAATATGAGGTTCCTCTGAATGGAAATAGGCAGATTCATTGTCTGCAACATTACGAGGATCTAATGCATCTCACAGAAAATGCGTGAGCCAACAATACTGCATCAGATTGAAGACATTTACTACCCTGTTCTTGCAGTTGTTGGAGTTCTTGGTAAGTCACTTTACCAATTAATGGAAGGAAATACATTTCAGTGTACATCTCACAAATGGAACTTGAGCTGTTTAATCATCTTCTCTTGTGACTGAGCTGGTGATTTGAATACCTTGCTCAATTTCACTGTTAAAATCTGGTTAAATGAAAGGTAAACGTGAATTATGGACTACCATGTACACTGTTACAGAATCTAACTAAATGGTGAAACGGAAATAGCAGAATTGGAATGAATGGTAGCCTGAAGGAAGAGATGAAATAGAGGAAAATAGGGCTGAAAGGTTTGAAATTAAGAGGCATTTGAATGACTAAAGAGATTGCATCAGCTTAAATAGTTCTATTTACAGACCAGGTACTGTCAGAACAATAACAAAGTTGCTGGAAAAGGTCAGCAGATCTGGCAGCATCTGTGAAGGAGAAAACAGAGTTAACGTTTCGGGTCCGGTGACCCTTCCTCAGAACTGATGGTGACTGGGAAAACGTCAGTTTATGTGCAGAAAATAGAACAATTATTGAATGGGATCCCTCATAATCCCTGATGAAATTAGGCTGTCTATATGTAATTAATAGGGCAATTACTTTACTTATCCAATAAATTAAGAAATATTAAGGGCAGACTCTTTTCTTCCCCTACCTAATTTACACATTTTTCATATGGTCATTCTCATTTCAATTCCCTCCTTACCTCTCTCGATTTTTCCTCATTTAAATATACCATCATCACTATCTATTGCCTTCTCACTTACTTGTCTACCTTTCCCTCAAATACAACTACTTACTTCAACTGCTTTCTGTGATTGTGAGTTTCATGTCCTCATTCCTTCCTGGCATACGTGAACATTCAGCAATAAACAAGAGCTTATTACTTTCAATTTCATTTTTTTAAACAGATATTAAACTTTACCAGTAGCTGTGATGGGATTTGAACCCATGACCCCAGAGCATTAGCATGCGGCCTTAGCTTATGAGTCAACTAACAACACCACTATACCATCATCACCCCATGAGTAAAGAGCAAAATGTGACGAATAAACACATTTGAATTTTTAGAGGGGATAACACATTTGTCACCTGACAGAGTGTCCTCAGGTATTATTGATATGGACTTCCAGGAGGTATTTGGCAAAATTCAACAGAGAAACTGATAACAAAAATGAGACAACATTGAATGGGAGAAAATCTATTGACTGGGAAGGGGATTTCAAATAATTGTGGGCAACAGATTGTCAGAATCATGGGTATGCTTTCAAACATTTAGAATGTAACTGCTATTGCTTCCTCAGGGATTTGTTGATGGGATTTGAGTAACAATGTAAAGCTGTCATTTATTAACCATCTTGAATTGTCCTCGAGAAGCTTGCAGTGATGAAGGAATGTACAGCCACTTGCTCACTTCACTAACAACACCGAATGAGTTTAGAACAGCAAGTTGCAAAGAGAGATTGATGATGTGAGAGAACGCAACTCAAACAGTATCGCCATCCATTCGGGGTCTAAAGAAGATAGATCAGAGCATTTTGTAATGGAAAGAGACTTGGAACAGTCAATGAGAAGGGAATTTATGCACCCAAATAAGGCATGATTTAAAGTTATGGATATGTTCAAAAAGTTACTCCTACAAGTCTAATGGGATGATGGCTTTTATCTTAAGATTGACAGGAATGCAAAGATGTAGAAATTATGTTAAGGCTGTACAGAGTACATCTGTATATTGCATTCAGTTTTGGGCATCATTGCTCAGGGATCATGAATTCACCATGGAATGGGTGCTACACAGAGTCACCAGACAGACATCAGAAGTGTCACATTATGAGGCCATGTTACATAGATTTAACTTTTAATCCCTTGAATATAGGGGGATAAGAGTTGATCACCTTCAAAATCATTCATGCCTCAGTTGCTAACACTCTCACATTTGATTTGCAACCTTTGTGAGTATCGCATCAACACCTCATTGCTATAAGATTGCCATGCTAGTACATTACTAAGGGAGCGTTGTACTATCAGATGTGTTGTTTTCCAGATTGGATGTGAAATTGGGGCTTTGTCTTCAATTTCAGATATAAATAGGATGATTATGAAAATGTGCAAGAGTCCTCTGGTCAATATTTCTTCTTTAATGCGTATCACAAGGATGGATTATCTAGATGTTACCATGTTACTGTCTGTGAAAGCTTGCATACGTTAATCATTTAGTTTTCTACATTAGAGAAAAACTTAATTAAAAGTACATTTTTGGCTATAAAACAAATCAGGCATCATGTGTTCAAAAAGCAGCAGTAAGAACATAATAAGAACTAGGAGCAGGAGTAGGCCATCCGGCCCTTCGAGCCTGCTCCGCCATTCAATAAGATCATGGCTGATCTTTTCATGGACTCAGATCCACTTACCCGCGTTCTCACTGTATCCCTTAATTCCTTTAGTGTTCAAAAAAATATCTACCTTATCTTTAAAAACATTTACTGAAGTAGCATCAACGACTTCACTGGGCAAGGAATTCCATAGATTAACAACCCTCTGGGTGAAGAAGTTCCTTCTCAATTCAGTCCTAAATCTGCTCGCTCTAATCTTGAGGCTATGCCCTCTTGTCCTAGCTTCACCTGCCAGTGGAAACATCCTCTCTACTTCTATCTTATCTATTCCCTTCATAATTTTATATGTTTCTATAAGATCCCCCCTCAATCTTCTGAATTCCAATGAATAAATCCCAATCTACTCAGTCTCTCCTCATAAGCCAACCCCCTCAACTCCGTAATCAACCTAGTGAACCTCCTTTGCACCCCCTCCAGTGCCAGTACATCCTTTCTCAAGTAAGGAGACCGAAACTGCACACAGTACTCCAGGTGTGGCCTCACCAGCACCTTGTACAGCTGCAACATAACCTCTCTGCTTTTGATCTCAATCCCTTTAGCAATGAAGGACAAAATTCCATTTGCCTTCCTAATTACTTGTTGTACCTGCAGACCTACCTTCTGTGATTCATGCACAAGGACACCCAGGTCCCTCTGCATAGCGGCATGCTGCAGCTTTTTACCATTCAAGTAATAATCCTTTTTACTATTACTCTTACCAAAATGTATGACTTCACATTTATTTACATTGTATTCCATCTGCCAGACCTTTGCCCACTCACTCAATGTATCTATGTTCCTCTGCAAAGTTTCACAGTCCTCTGTACAAATGCAAGTTATCCTATTTTAAATCATGAAAAGATGTTATGGAGTAGGTAGGGGGTTTTTCCTTTGAGAAAGGAGTACAAAACGAGAGGCACAAAGTTAACGTAAGAGTTGCCTGTTCAGTTCTGAGGAAGGGTCACCGGACCTGAAACATTAACTCTGATTTTTCCCTCACAGATGCTGCCAGACCTGCTGAGCTTTTCCATCAACTTTGTTTTTGTTCATGAGTTGGCTGTTCAGGGTTGATGTCAGCAAGCAACATTTTATATAGAATACCAGCATGTTGGAATTATCTCACCAGTGTTACTGGACTAAATCTATTCAATATTTCTAAGCTAAGATATTAATATCAAATGTTCAAAATTTCCACCTATATCTCCCTTCTTTCTTTTTCCATTTGTTCCAGTTAACTCAGTAGCCATTCTGATCCTATCACGAGGAAAGTGCGGACTCTCGAAATGTATCACTCACTATCTGGTGGCCATGGCAGCAGCTGATCTTCTTGTTGTTTTCATTGATGTGATACTGTTTACAGTTATCCCCTTTTATTTCGCAAATACCTACTTGAACATCACAGCCATTATTTCTCTCTTGCTTGTCCTGCTTTCTGCAGCCACAGACATTTCTGTTTGGCTCACTGTCACTTTCACCTTTGATCGCTTTGTTGCAATTTGCTGCCAGACATTTCAATCAGTGTACTGCACAAAGAAAAGTGCAGCCGTGGTTATTACAACAGTGAGTGTGCTATTCTGCTTGAAAAATGTTCCTTGGTATTTTGTATATCAGCCTGAATATGTAATTGACAATGTACCTTGGGGAGGAGTTGTCTCAGAAAGTTTTCATTCAGAAACTGCCTGGGTAACATTTGACTTCAGCTGTATTATTTTAACTCCTTTCCTTCCATTCATTCTGATTTTACTGCTCAATGCTCTGACTGCCAGACACATTTTAGTGACCAATAGAGTCCGCAGGAAGCTATTGGTTCACGGCAAGAGTGAGAATCACACTGACCCAGAAATGGGCAGCCGCAGGAAATCAATCATTTTACTCTTCACCATATCAGGCAGTTTTATACTATTATGGATGACAAATGTTGTATATTTCCTTTATTGGCGATTTGCGAATATTTATGATTATACTGGCCCCCATGATCCTGCGTATATCACTCAACAATCAGGCTACATGCTGCAGCTTTTGAGTACCTGCACCAACACCTGTATTTATGCAGTGACCCAGACTAAATTCAGAGAGCAGCTGAAGAATGCAGTCAAATATCCATGCACTGTAATTGGTAAATTACTGAAATTATTGAAAAATTTTAATCCAACACTCACACAACTCTGACCTAATCTTAAAATTGAGTGTTGAACACTTTGGAAAGTGAGAATTCTGAGTTGCTTCTTGACCATGCCATTGACACAACAAATAATACAATTTCAGATCATTGAATATATTGCAATTGATTTGGTGGTTAAAGCTTGACTTGAACAATATCAGGATCCTGTAATTGTGTCAGATACATCCATTTTGTTATACTGATTAGGGTCACATAGAATCCTTAGAAGAGTTACTTTGCTGAAATTGTGATTTTGGTTATTGATGCTTACCTGTTTAAATAAAGTCTCCAGTGCATTTGACCTGTGAATTGCTCATGAGTTTCCTTAGAAAGAGTGAGTGGGAACAAATATAGTGAGCCCTGAAGTTCTGCAGCCAGTTCACTGATGAAACATTATGGAGAGTTTGGGAAATGCTGAAAGAAATGATCTACAAAGCTGGTGATGGTATGGGGATTTGGGAGTTTTCATCCCAAAGGGACTATACATAACAATTTCAAACTGTAAGTCTTTTACACATGTGCACAGGTTGTCCAGGTAACTGAGAGCAGAAAGGCATTGACTAAATCATAGAGTCAGAGTCATACAACATGGAATTTGGAGTTCAATTTGGATAAATGTGACGTATTGTAATTTGAAACGACAAACATGGGCAGGACTAATACAATGAATGGTAGGGCATTGGGTAGTGCTGTAGAGCAGAGGTATCTGGGGTTCAGGTACATAATCCTTTGAAGTTTGTGTCACATATAGACGGAGTGGTTAAGAATGTATTTAGCACGCTTGCCTTCATTGCTCAGTCCTTTGCATTTAGGAATTGGAAAGTAATGTTGAGGTTGTACAGGACATCAGTGATGCCTCTTCTGGAGTACTGTGTCCAGTTCTGGTCACCCAGTTATAGTAAGAATATTACTAAGATAGAGAGGGTTCAGAAGAGATGTACCAGAATGATGTCGGGTTTGGAAGGTTTGAGTTATAAGGAAAGGCTGGTTAGGCGGGGATATTATTCACTGGAGTGTAAGAGGTTAGAGGGGACCTTATAGAGGTTTATAAAATCATGAAGGGTATAAATTGACCATTGACCAGAAACTTAACTGGACTCACCACATTAACAGAGCGGCTACAAGAGCAGGCCAGAAGCTGGGGATACTGTGGCAAGTGACTCACCTCCTGACTCCTCAAAACCTGTCCACCATCTACAAGGCACAAGTCAGGAGTGTGATGGAATACTCCCCACTTACCTGGATGAGTGCAGCCCCGACAACACTCAAGAAGCTTGACACCGTCCAGGACAAAGCAGCCCGCTTGATTGGCACTACATCTACAACCATTCACTCCCTCCACCACCGACGCTCAGTAGCAACAGGTGTACTATCTACAAGATGCAATGCAGAAATTCACCAAAGATCCTCAGACAGCACCTTCCAAACCCACAACCACTTCCATCTAGAAGGACAAGGGCAGCAGATATATGGGAACACCACCACCTCCAAGTTCCCCTCCAAGTCACTCATCATCCTGACTTGGAAATATATCCCTTTTCCTTCACTGTCGCTGGGTCAAGATCCTGAAATTCCCTCCCTAATAGCATTGTGGGTCAACCCATAGCAGGAGGAATGCAGCGGTTCAAGAATGCAGCTCACCACCACCTTCTCAAGAGCAACCAGGGATGGGCAAGAAATGCTGGCCAGCCAGTGACGCCCACATCCCACAAATGAATGAAGAAAAAGTGTCTTTTCCCTAGGAGCAAGGAAGGAAGCGTTTTCCTTTCCAAAAGCAAGGTTTTAGATCCCGTTTGAAGTTTGTCATGTATTTCTGATAAATGTAACACTTCGTTTTTTCGTTTGCTACTTAAATAGTTTTTAGTTTTTAGGTGACTGTTTGTTGAGGTTTGAGATTATCCATCTCCTCAATGTTCTGTTCTTGCCCAGTGGTGTATCTCTGTTGAACCTTGGATATTTAAACTGTATAGTTTGAAGGGATCAATTTGAGGCCTGAAATTAGATGACCTCAATCAAATTGAACTCATCTAAAATAATGTAAATTCCTTTATAAAATGTACAATGCCTATGGTGGTGGTCAGTGACAATATTGTCCAGAACATCAGGAGGACTGTCTGTGCAGCAAATCACACCACAACTTCTCTCCTGACCAACAGTATATTTGCATGGAGGGTCTTTATTCTATTCAAAATACAACAACCTCAGTTAATGCAACATTTAGTCAGTGCTGCACTAAATCACCGTTTTGATTATGTCTTCAATATAGCAGCGGGCTTTAGACATCACTGGGGTCGAAAATTCAAGATCACACCTCTCCAATTCATTTTTTTTTCCTCACTTATGAAGCCATTACAAAGCTATTTAAGCACAGCATTTCCTGTTATCCTTTAATCTGTGGTGGTTTGAATTAGATACTTTTTTTTTATTCATACATATCACTCTCAAAAGCATCTCCATAAATTTTGTTTAGATGGATTCAATTATTCATAATTTGCTACATATTGCCTAAAGGCATGAACAATGTAGGAAGCACTGAGATATGGTGGCCTCTGAGATCAGAGATTGTTGATCCCATTTCCCACAGAGTTATCATTACATTATCGAACATGACTCTTAACAGCCCCTAGTTGTAGCAATACCTTTGTTTGGTCCTTCCTGCCCTGGAATTGGTTCATTCCCCTTATATCAAGATGTCCAGAAAGGAGTGGAGATTTTTCGGGTGAAACAATGGAGATTGCTCCAAAACTAAAAAAGGAAAGGATTTACATTCATACATCACCTGCCACAACTGCAGAATATCCAAGCGCTTTGCACCAAACTAAATAATTTTGAAACATGAACAGAAATTGCTGGAGAAACTCCACGCATCTGGCAGCATCTGTGGAGAGACGTGCAACATTTTGGGTCCAGTGACCCTTCTTCAGAACTCAAATTCCAGCAATTTATGCTTTTCTTTCAGAATTCCAGCATCTACTGTTCTTTGTGTGGGTTTTTGTTTTAAGTACTTTTGAATGCAGTCATTGTTGTAAAGTCAAAAATATGATTTTTACCAGGCATCAAGTTCACGAACAGCTCATTGCTTTTAAACTTGCTGGTCAAATAATAAATATTGGCCAAAGGCAGAATAATTGAAAAAAATGAGAAGCAATCATTCATTTTAAATTGCTGTGGGATGTGAAGTTGAAGGAAGATGCAATCTATGTGCACATCTTTCACTTTAACTGTCCTACTCTCTGTGAAAAAGTCTGGGACACCTGAAATTGGTAAATTACTGAAATGATTGAAGCACTTTAAATACTGATATCTTTCTAAAGGTATGAACCTATCTCCTTTTATTTATCATCCCACCTTGGTATCCACATGAAATTGCAATGGGAGAAACTTGACACAATTTAAAGTGCTTTTTAACCACGTTATTTAATAAACACATGGATTTCTGAATCAATTTCAGTGAGCTGTTTGATGAAGGTTAGCATTGAACGATACCTGGTGACAGATATTATTTAAGATTAGAGTCATAGAGATATACAGCACAGAAACAGACCCTTCGGTCCAAATCGTCCATGCCAACCAGGTATCCTAGATAAATCTAGACCCATTTGCCAGCATTTGGCCCACATCGCTCTAAACCCTTATTCATTTTCCCATGCAGATGCCTTTTAAATGTTGCAATTGTACCAGCTTCCACCACTTCCTCTGGCAGCTCATTTCATACATATACCACCCTCGCCTGAAGAAGTTCCCCATTAGGTCCCTTTTAAATCTTTCCCCTCACCTTAATCCTATGCCCTCTAGTTTTGAACTCCCCACCCCAGGGAAAAGACCTTGTCTATTTACCCTATCCATGCTCCTCATGATTTTATAAACCTTTATAAGGTCACCCTTCAGCCTCCGACAATCTAGAGAAAATAGCCCCAGTCTATCCAGCTTCCCCCCAAAGCTCAAATCCTCCAACCTTGGCAACATCTTGTAAATCTTTCCTGAACCCTTGCGAGTTTCACAACATCCTTCCTATAGCAGGGAGACCAGAATTGCACACAGTATTCCAAAAGTGGCCTAACCAATGTCCTGTTCAGCCGCAACATGATCTCCCAACTACTATATTCAATGCAATGACCAATAAAAACAAGCATACCAAACACCTTCTTCACTATCCTGTCTACCTGCAACTCCACTTTTAAGGAAATATGAGCCTGCATTCCAAGATCTATTTGTTCAGCAACACTCCCCAGGACATTACATTAAATGTATATGTCCTGCCTTGATTTGCCTTTCCAAAATGCAGCATCTCACATTTATCCAAATTAAACTCCATTTGCCACTTTTCAGCCCATTGGCTCATCTGATCAAGATCCCATTGTACTCTGAGGTAACCTTCTTCACTACACCTCCAATTCTGGTGTCTTCTTCAAACTTACTAACCATTCCTCCTGTGTTTTTATTTATATAAATGATAAAAAGCAGTTTACCCAGCACTAATCCTTGTGGCACACTACTGGTCACAGGCCTCCAGTCTGAAAAACAATCCTCCACCACCACCCTCTGTCTTCTACCGTCAAGCCAGTTCTGTATCTAAATAACTAATTGTGTACCATTCTGCCCTCATTAATCCTCTTCATTACTTCTTCAAAAGATTCAATCAAGGTTGTATCTGTGATTGACATATACATTTTATAATGAATATTATGTGGCAATGATGACTTGTGTTACTATAAGGTCTTTACAACATTGTGGCATGATCCTTTGATCATTTCTCATTGGATTATAATTGAAAGATCAAATGGTTAAAGATATTGTTGACCCTGAAATTTTGCAGCTGTTCTCTCACTGTCCCATTGGGGTCAGGTCAGCAGATAGCTGGAGAAATGGTCATGCCTGAAAATGGCCACTTCTGCCATCAGCCGCCCATTGTCATCCATTGGAAAAATCTGATGTAAAAGCTGAAGAATATGCCT